TGAAGTTCACCTTAGGGACCAACCACTTATTGTGATCGATGGACTCTGTTCGAAATTAGATATTAAGGATACTTTCATGCAAATTATTGACGGTGTTAATATTGACGTTGGCACAAAGCCTGGAACTCGTGCGTCTGTGGAAAAACTGACAACGTTAATCCGAGAATATTTTTCAAATTCTGAGCGGGATTTTCAACGTTTAAACATAGTGATTCATAACATTGACGGTCCAAATCTTTGCACTGTGCAAATTCAGAATTGTCTTAGCATTCTCGCATCTTGTCCCAACATTTGTCTCGTCGCTTCTGTAGATCATACCAACGCAACTTTGCTTTTTGATCAAGATCGAACAGCCAAATTTAATTGGGTTTGGCACGATACTTCCGCGCTCCGCGTTAACTAAGTTTTTCCCACAATTCTGATTAGATATCAGAAATCTCACTGAAAAATCATTCACGAGGTTAGATCAAGATTTTTTTTAGTAGGGTTTTATAAAATTGTCTGTACTGCTACGTGCAATCATTTTTCTTACTGTTAAAGATTATTGCATAATTTGTATTTAATATATATATATATATATTGCATTTTAAATGAAAGACATATAAAGGGGTTTCTGATTACAGATCATAAGGACTTTCATAGAACTTAATAATAAAATGTTGCCATATTAAAAATATGATAATTTGCTTTTTCACCATAAAAAAATTAAATCTAAATTCCTAATGCATACGGTCCAAAGGATAATAAACCGAATGTATATATGTGCGATTTATCATTGTTAAGAGACTTTACTAAACAGAAATGCTATTCTAAACCACTAAACCCAAATGCTCCAACTATAACTTGTCCATTAACATGATACTTCACTACCATCAATTAATAAGAAATGCGGCGTGTTACGTAGGCATATAGGCATGAAATGTATGCATGGGAGAAACCGTAGTGCTAGTGACGATAGTATAAAGTAGTTCTTAGAGTTACCTGCCGTAATTAATTACAACCTTTACGACATATAGGTTGCAATATTACGACATATAGGTTGTAATATTACAACTTGTTAAAAACAATTACGGCAGGCAACTCTAGTAGTTCTGCGAATTAACATGATTTTCTTTTAACTTTCATTAGAAAAAACGGTTCTTGATAAAGCCAGCAATAATAATATTACACATATTATTATTTCTTATCTCAAATAACTCTAATTCTCTTTTTATCCCTAATTCACATGCATATACATATGATTCTAAATCTAGTTAGAACTAAAATGTACACTGATGCGTGTTTCTCTCTTGATCAGCCTCATTTAATCGGTGTTTCACCTCTAAAAAATATTTTATCCAACGTATGACCGAGTTTGCATAGTTCACATTCACTGTATGCGTATGTAGTATAATTTTAATCACTTTTAAATTCAGAACAAAATAGGTATTGCTAAGGTAAAATGTCTTGATTAAACTTGAAAACTATATTATTAGTTAATTGTCAAATAATTGTGTATATTATTACAAAAAAAAAAAAAAAGAAAAACAGAACGCTGAAAAGCATTTCACATATAAAAAATTTCAGCCCGCTCCAAGATAAGAGTTTATCATTTTCTTCACTAACCGCCGGCTTGTTTAAGGGGGTGGACGACTCCCAATATAGTTACGATTGCACTTTCTCAGGGTATCAATGCTGTTCTGGCCAACAAAACCAACTACGTATATGTGCGTCCCCTCAAATAGTAGACTTCCCATGAATTAGACCCGCTGTGAGCAACGGAATCCTTATTAATAAAATGTGTTTTTTTCAAATAGTTAGACTGCCTATTGTAAATACTAAATGTGTATGCACTTTAAATTTTTTCCCTTTCACTAGACCCGAGGTCTACTAAAGGGTTTTAAAATTGGTGGGTGAAACAGAACCGGGTCTTGTATACGCGCATATACGGCACTTGCTTCTGTTATCTATTGCAATTATTCCATAATAAGGTACAATCAAATAATCCAACTGGAACGTATATTATATATTATGCGATATAACGAATTTAGAAGTAGAATTCCTAAATTTAATTCTATCGCATAACATTTTCAAGTTAATGCAGACATAAAAATCAGATAGAATTGCGATAGGCCTAAATTCTGAACAATTCCCTTTGAGTAATAACGTTAAGTTGCCATAGGACTTAATAATATTTAGTTCTTAACTGTTAATGAAAAAAAACATTTAAAAAAATGAACTCACAAATTGACGATTTGTTTTTAGAAATAGAAACTCTAATTAAACTTCAACTCAAAGATAATGTTCAAAACAATTCCGAGGTTGAACAAAAATTTAAAGATGCAATAACATTAATTAATGAAATAGAGGCTGATGATGAGAAACAACATGGATTATATAGATATAAATATCACTCAACTTATAATAGCTATTTAAAGACAGTGGGTGATTTGAAAAATGCCGACAAACAAGAAAAATTAGCAAAAAAATTTGAAAAATATTCGAATACTCATGCTGAAGTATCTCCACAATTCAAACTATTTACAGACGTTACAACCCCAAATACCGTCAATCAAGATCAAGATTGCAACCTTAAAATTAAGGAAATTGCAGAAAAATTGAAAAATAATTTAAAAGATGAATTAACTGACACTAATCTAGGTGATAAATTTATTAGTGAGATACAACAAATTTTTGAAAAGCTTAATGGGGTAACAAAAACCTTTGACGGCTATCTAGAAACTGTAAATTGTGAGATTTATCTCCGTAAGTTAGCTGATAACTTAATTAATGAGAAATTAATCATTCTGGAAGCTCCTCAGAGTTTAGCTAACTGTAATAATAAAGAAGAGTTTGATAATAAATCTTCAAAACTTGAAAACGTTAATACAGAGTTGATCGATTATTTGAAGAGTTTAAAATTCTTAGCACATGAAATAGCGTATTCAAAAAGGATAGAATTTATTTCGTTTTTTTCGAATTCTTCAAATAAAATAGAGATTTTATTTAAAAATGTTATAAATACAGAAGAAGAGATTAATAGACGTGCTAGATTAATTGGATCGTGTTTTCATCCAGATAGAACTAAAAATCCAAATTGCCCATTTTGGCTTAAAGGAATATATAAAAGTCAAGGAGATGAGTTATTCAAATTAATCTCAAAATTCAAAGAACATTTATTGAATAATTTGAAGACATTCTCAGAACCTGAAGATAAAATAAGTGACTATGAAAAATTCGGCCATGATCTTTGGAAAATTACTATTGATTATCATAACGCGTCAAAAGGAGAATGGAGTAAGTTGAAAGTGTTGAAGGAAGATGAAATCAAGGAACTTTCTCCCGAATCGTTAAAACATAAAAGCATGTATATGGGAGAATTAGCATACCATCAATACCGAGCAGCGTGTAAAGTTGCTGATAAAAATAAACTGTTAAAAAAACAAGTAAAATTACGAGGATATATGGCTTTATGTTTATATTTCACAAATAAATTTTTAGAAGCTCCATTATATGCCTTAGCAGCAATTCATTTACAGATTCAGAATTCGCAAAATGTTACGCAACAAGAATTAAATGAAGCAAAAAAATTATTCGATAAAGTTAACGGTAGAAAAGAATGTAGTAAAGGAGGTGAGGAGTGTGTGACCTCCAATTCAAATACTGAAGTTAAATTAGAAAGTGATTTTAATAACGTGATGACTTTAGTAAAAATAAAAGATCAAGAGATTTCTTTCAATCATAGAAAGCTTATTCAGAATTCAATCAATAAAGATTTGAATAATATGGCTACTAAATTATTTATTGAAGCTGATCGTAGTTTGGTTTGTTATCAAACATCATACAAGGAGATTTTAAGTGTAGAAAAGCATGCAACTTCGAATAAACTTAAAGGAGGAGCTACTATAGTAGGTGGTGCAATGGGAGGAGGTGTAGTAATCTCTACAGCCCTGGGAAATATTTGTGAAGCTACGTTTGAATTTGGAATTAGGTCATTGGCTACCCCGGCCTTTTTAGTTGTGGGTGCATTCGTTATTGTTGCCGCCGGAGTATATAGCGGTTTAGGTCTGTATAAAAAAGGCGCAAAGATGTTAAAAGAGCCAAAAATTCGAGAAAAGCTCAACGAAATCATGACTAAGGCGTTAAACTCCTACGATAAAGGAGAATATCAAGAATTTATAAATGTACTTTCTGAAGAATACGATGAAAAGAGTCACAAAAGCCTTATAGAGTGTTGCGATGGAATCGGTATTAAAGGAACAGATGATATAGTAAGCACGCTTAAAATGCATGGTTTCAGATCGGATGGTATTGCATACCTACTTGTTCTGCTGGGAGAGGTCTTAGGTAGTGGAAAAATAAAAATCGAAGGTGTCACACATACAGATCTCAAGACACATGCGAAGAGGATTTTTCGAGAGGCACTGAATAACGATCTTGTAGTGGAAGCTAGAAAGTTAGATGATTGTACTAGTGAATTGCGAAAAACTAGTAAAGGAGACTATACGAGGTTGTTTAAAAGCACTTGTGGTAAAGTTGTAGATTCTATTTTATCGAGGGAGCATACAAGATTAGCTCTAGAATATTTAGATGACTCTCTAGAAATGCCTTTTTTTTCAAGACTTGAAGAAATACGTAACATTGCAAGGATTAATATTGCAATTCTAAATATAACAGAATATGATTTATCCGCATGTAAAGAGGCCATCAAAATTGTTGACGAAGTTCGAAAATCAATAAGAGAAAATTATCAATTTATTAGCAAAGTTCAATTACGTTTAGATACATTGGAGGATTTCTTGTGGATAATTAGTGGGGAGATTCTACCTGATACATCTTTTACCAATTGTTCCGTTACGACAGAATCAGCTCTGGAACTGAATGATAAATACATTACTTACTTGAATAATCAACTATCGTTTAACCAAGAGAAAACACATAAATATGATAAAGCAGTTTATTTTGAACAATTGTCTGAAAAAGAAGCTAAAATTAATATGCTAAACAGTTTACGTTATTGGCAATGTGCTCAAGAAAATTATGAAAGTTTACGCAAAATAGATCCTGAAGAATTGACTTATTCCCTGGGATATGCAAGATGCTTACTAAAATTATCTAAATACACCCAAGTTATTGGACTTTCTGATACATGCCCTGCATTAAATACTTTATCGGAATATTGGCACTTTTGTAGTATAGCTTATTTTAAGCAAGCAAAATATAAAGATTCCAAGTCATTTAATACTGAAGCATTGAAAATAGATCCTAAAAATAAGCCAGCTGATAAACACAGAAGACTTATTAACAAAGTAAACGTGGAAAATATTGTTAAACACCACCTTGATTGCTATAAAAGTGAATTGATATATGAAGCAGATTATTTAAAAAATTCACACAGTAATGAACGTCCTGTCTATAATATTCTATCAATTGATGGTGGAGGAATACGTGGAGTATTACCTGCTTTATGGCTTAGTGAGATAGAATACCGCACTCACAGACCCATTTCTCACTTATTTAATATGATAGTTGGAACATCGACTGGTGGTATCATTGCCGCAGGATTATCAGCGCCACAATTCGAAGAAGAGCTCGAAAGTATTCCAATAAATGAAATTCCTAACAATCATATATACAAAAAAATATACGAATATTCAGATTTAAAACCAGGATTTTCATCCGAATAATCAAGCTCTTCTATATATTGACATCCTAATTCTAAAAGATGAGCAATACTTTCGTGGTTATCTAATCCTATAGGTTCTTCAAAAAAGATTTGCCATCGTTGATAACGATTTCCTAGAATATTATACATCTCACGATCCGTGTTACCTTCTTGTGCAGACATTATTAAATTCGGAAGATTTTGTGCCCAAAAAAGCAGATGCCTATATTGTTCAGGTCTTGAAGGATCTGGTATATAGCATCCTGTACCTAGAGAAAGTACAGAAATCTTTTCATTTGGCACCTTATATCGAATAGCTTCTCCGTAAGCAGTTAATGCTGGGTTATTAAGATGTATTCCTCCATCTAAAAAAGTCCCCTTCTTATTCCAAATATTATAAGGCGGAAAAAAGGTAGGCGCAGCTGTTGTGGCCATTAAGGTATCCACTAAAGTATTGTCATCTTCGCTATTTTCACAAGCATCATATCGGGTAAATAAATGTGACATTGCCGGGCAAGTTTCATTTGCGGCAGGAATAATCAATTCAGTAAGTGAATGACTTAATTTTGTATCTTCAAAATATTTTTTAAACATGGTAAAACGACCATCATCTGTATATTGATCGGATACATTGAAGAGGGTCCATGATCTTTTAGTAAATAATTTTTTTGATTCATCCTTGTAAATGTTCAATAATTCTGAAGCTGAAAATCTTGGTTTTAAATCTGAATATTCGTATATTTTTTTGTATATATGATTGTTAGGAATT